GAAATTGACAGTCATAAAAATATAATTATAAAATTACCTTATTTTAGATAATGTCAAATCTTTCTCAAATTTTGTGAGTGGCATCTGGATGAAGAAGAATTCTTCTCTTAATTTTAAACCATTTCTCTTCAAAATGTAGAGAGCATAATTGACAATTTCTAGAAGAATATTCAGGACCTATTTCTCCTAAATCCAGTCTCCCACTTCTTCGTATCTAATCATCTATTAAAATAATTTATTAATGTAAAAAAATATTAAACACGTATTTATACATAATTACAAATAATATTGAAAAATTGAAAATATTTTTATATATACATATATATATGTGGTATACCTATCATATTCTTTAGGAAATTTAAATACATGTCTTTCTTCTAATTCTAAAAATTTCCAGGACATTCATTTATTGAACAATTTAATTTCTATTTTTAATTTTTTTTCCACTCACTTTCGTGATATGCAATCTTCTTTTTATATCTGAAACAGAGCTAAGATCAAAGTGTTTTCTGTAAAAGAATTGAAAATCTGTACTATATATATGTACAGATCTACTAATTCTCTTTAAGAATAACTGTCACTTTTTTATTCTTTTTACTTGACTTCACTTTATTTCACTTCACTGTACTTCACTTTACAATAATCCACTTCACTTTACTTTTTTTTACTTCACTATCTAAAATTTTTTATTTCAATATCTAAAACAATTTGCAAAACATCATCGATATAAAAACATACGAACTTAATACTGTCGTTGCCGCCAATTCACAACACTTCAACGATTAAGAGAAAGACCGAAAACACAAAGAATAAGTGAGAGAAAAGTTTAGATGGCGTTACCGTATGTAATGTCTCAACTTGCGCATGCGTGCTATGATTTTGGCTTCACATAATGAATAGAGTTGCGCTACTGCATACTGACTGAACTTCACTGAAGTCACCGAAACACAACAATAAGTGATGTTTCCGAACGTAGCCCAAGTCACTAGCATCGAAGTTAATACCACGTGATCATTCCACAGGCGCCACATCTAACAGCTGCTTTTCAGCGTCTCATGAAATGACACCTTTAGCAGTCATTATTCCACTCGTCATCAAATACTAGTCCTCGACTGTGATATTACGAAAGGTTTCTCAAAAAATATTGAATACAAAAATGTACAAAAATACCATATGATATACGCATCTACATATCAATTTTCTTAGGATATACGATATTTTTCGAGAATAAGGTAATATCTCAGAATTGCTCAGAATATGTGTACATACTTGTACAAATACATATACAAATGTATGAATACGTACACATGGCGTCACAAAAGCCTTAAACACGAAGTTGCACGAGTTATACGAATATTTGAGAAGGAATGAGAAGGCATGAAAGCGCACGTTAAGGCATTTATAACGCTGTGTATGTATGTACATATACATACATATAAGATGAAAGTCGGAAGCGCGAGCAAGCGCGGGCTTTCTCGCAATAGGCCATGATAAGTATCTATACCAGAGAATTGATGATAGAGAGGAATTTTCTTCTGTACCATTATGCATAGATTCGCGCAAATAATTCCTCATACATTGTAAATTATAAGATATTACGAGAGAGCGTCCAAGTTGTCGCATGTAGGAATGTGGCACTTCAAAATGGCTGCCAGTTAGTCAAGTAATTTACGGCCGTGTCTGCCTTTGTTGTCGCGCGTGTGAATCGCGAGTTCTCTCGCGAGCACCGCGGAATCTGGCGGAATTTGAAGTCGGCCGCGACGAAGGTGTGTGCGCGAGAGCGCGCGCACAAGAGAGAACGACCGTACGCACACGCACGCACGTGTAGGAGATTGAAGGTGCGCGCGCGCGTGTTGCGCATATATGTCATATATGTATGTATGAATGTATGTATGTATGAATGTGCGTGTCGCACGCTTGCTCGTTGAGAAGGCTTCCTCGCCTGTTCGATAAAACGCGCGCATCAGAAGATACCTCAGCGGTACATGTGATTAATATATTGCTGACATTCGTCGTGCTCTATATCGCATAGTTTTGTCACATGGCTCGCCACGCGGCGCAAACGTAAGAAAGCGCGACGGGAATATGCTCGGACGGACGACTGCCGCCGCCGCTGTTATTGTTGCTGCTTCTGTTGCTGCTGTTACTGCTACTACTACTACTGCTATTACTACTACTGCTACTACTACTGTTACTATTATCACTACTACTACTATTATTACTACTATTATTACTACTATTATTACTACTACTACTACTGCCAATGCTAACAATCGCGCGCGCATCACCGCCGTTGCTTAGTCAAGAGAGTTCTATCCCGTGGAATTCCGCGACGAGTGGCAATACGTCGCCGTACCATAAACATCTCGGTGCATGAATAAACGAGCGTGAGCGTGCGCGCGCGCGCGCGCGCATGTGTGCGACACTAAACTTTGTCGCCGTCGGTCGCCGTCATCTCTTTCTCGATACCAGTATTATCAGTGGGACGGGGACCATCAGTTCATTGGAGATAGGTTAAGCTGTCCGTCGATTGTCCCCTCGCGTGCGCGCGCGCGGCGCGAAGATGCCGAAAATCGACCGCGAGAGATGTCCACCGTTTCCTCGTATCCTTTATCAGTGTTCTCGCGAGGTGGACATCCGAGGAAGATTTCTCTTCACGACATGAAGCTAAAGCATTTGTCATTCGGATGAATTCGCTGTGTCGATTTCGTATCCCTCGTCTATATGTTCTTACGCTTCTCGCTATTAATCGTTATTTCATCGTTCGTAACTTTATACTGTTGTGATACGACATTGTTGTATATGACATTCGAATAAAAGTGACCCTGAGTCTCAAAGCGTGTTGTGAATTGAACTAGCTACACACCATCTATTCAGCCATGACGCTGGGCAGGATCTGTGGCAGAGCTAACTGACAGTAATCTTTGTGTTGTAAGCATTATCTTCTCATAAGTAGGAACATGCGCTTTGAAACTAGACTTACACTTGTCAAGATTCAAATTTATAGCCTTGTCCTATATATTCCTAAATAAATAAAATTGAACTGGAAATTGTAGGTTCACGCAAAAATATTATTAGACATCAAAATTTGTTTTGACCGAATATCTTCTTTGCTTATTTGTATTAAATATATTAAAATTATGTTTTTTTTTCTCTTTTCGCACAATTTTATATTGATAGCTATTATAAGAAGAAAACATAAGAACAGGGGGGATCACTCATGAATTTTTTCCTTAGGGTGGAAATGTGAAAAGTGATTTTTTTTTTGTATGTATGTGTATATATATATATATATATTAAAAAAGTATGTACACACACACGCGCACACGCACCCCACACACACACACACACACACACACATATATATATATATATATATAAATGGTCACTTTTTTGCTGCTCTAGAGAAAAAGTTTACATGATCGATACTCAGATAATTACTTGTACTAACATTGATATTTATTATAAATGATGTTAATAGGTACGATTTAAACATATTTATTTATTCAACTCGTTAACGTAAAATTGTAATTATAAATTGATAACTAATACGAGTATCTGTTATGTGAGACACTAGTAGTCATAAATATAATTATTTGTACTTTATAATTTGACTTGTCGATACAACTATATAATTGTCCATTCGTACATTGATTTGTAATTATGAACATGGGAACGACTTCTTTTCTTCTAGAAATTTCTTTTAGAAATATCTCTCACTTTCATTTTTCTATAAAGAACTCATTTTTCTTACTTTTTTTCCACAAAAATAAATATTAACACTAAAACAGCAAAAGAGAGGAAATTAAAAACAATAATTAGAACTTTAGAACAAGGCTAGGAAGAAATTAATTTTTATGTATTGTATGTAACTTTATCCATACTATACTGATTGCCTACCATCAATTTCAGCACCTACGGATGTGTCTAGTAATAACACGGAGAGGCTAAGTAGTAGCTAAATGTGATTGGTTGGAAAAGTAAGAATTACACTTGACTGCTATTTAGACGCTCAGGGAGCGGGTGTTGTATTGGTTGTATCTATAAATTTGTTCGTGTTGCACTTAAGATGAAATAAGTATACAGGCTGTGTAATAAAATTCACTGTCAGTGCTTAAAATCTATAGTATATACGTGACATAAACTATTATATTTAAAAATTGTTCATTTTTAAGAATCTTATTGACATCAAATTGTTAATTTTTTTATAAGATGATTATTAATATCAATATTGTAGAAATTGTAAGTATATTGTCAGCGTGATAAGTGATGTGAGTGATGTGTGTGTAATTTATGAGACAAAAAAAAGGACAGTTAAGCGATAATTAATGGTGAAATTAGATTTTTCTAATTCCATCATGAAATAATCAATAAGAGTTATGGAGATACGTTTTTATAAATACCTAAAAAATACTCTTTTCTTGACAAATATTTCAAAAGTGGGATAAAGACGAAGAGTTAATTGGTGAAAATTGAAGAGATTACGATTTCTTACGATTTCAAGAAAATTACAAGTTTTTTTTATTGCCTATTACGATTTTTCGCAAGAAAGAATAAAATTTAAAGACAGATTGATGTCATGGAGTGAATTCACGATCCTTCAATTAAAAGATGTGGGTTTATCCATCTCTGGAAATAATGAATTAATAACTAAATTATTGAAGGTAGATCTTCGAGGTAGTAGATTAACTGAGATCAGAAGTTGATGCTTGAAGACATTGATTCGCAAGATAGTTCAAAAACTCAAAAGAGAAGCATCAACAAACAACAGATCAAATTAATAACCAGATTGATGGAAGGATTTTTCAAGGAGGCAGATCGATTGAAAGACATTATTTTACAAGAAGATCCAGGAATTTTAAAAAGTAAGCAAATAAACAACGAATCGAGGTAAGCGCTTCAAATTCTATGTCGGAGCTAGAATTTATGCGATCTTTTGGAGAAAGAGATAGAAGATATTGGAATTATATGAGCATCTCCATTGTGAGTGAACACAATGTAAAAAGATAAATATAAAAACGATTGGAAAATTACAATGATTTTAATGGAATCAATTAATCTTTTACTAAATGGAAAAAGCAGATATAATTATTATGAATCATTTACGAATTAGATGATAATTAAAATAATTAAAATTTTAATAGTTCTACATTTGAAAGAAAAAATACAAAGTTGGTTTTACACAGAACGAATTTTTAGACAGTAGTAGCGAAGAACTTTTGTGTAAACTCTCTTAAAGAAATGTTTGACTTATTATCTAATAAGCTAGAACTGAGAAACAATTTGAAACAAGAATATAGCGTATGAAAAGAAATTTTTCAGAATACTATTACAATATAATTATTGAAGTAAGTGAAAATAGGAATTTCTGAGGATAAAATTAGTGGATTATATTATTGATGGCATTACTGATTTTCAGTTACAAAATCATGTGAGAACGCAGAATTTTCCTTCAACATCAGTGTTACTGCAAATTTTCAAGAAGATTTCACTTTGTTTGGAAGCTAATCATTTCAAGAAACGGAATGACAAGGTGGGACTAGAAACAAAGACATCACAAAGCAAAGGATGAAGATCGAAATGATTATGTTCCAAGAAATGCTCGTTGTTTTAATTTCAATAAGTTTGGGCATTTAAAGATTGCAAATATCATAAACAAGAGCGAGGATTCTGTTATAAATGTAGAGAGTTAGGACATCAGGTGAAGTAATGTCGTAAAAAAGAAGATTATAAGAATGGAAAGGAAGTTCACTACATCGAGCACATAGTGGGAAAAGAAGAGACATTTCATTAAAGATAAGCGACAATAATTTATGTTATGATTTACAGTTAAATGATTTACAGTTAAACGCTTTGTTAGATACTGAAAATTCTATTAATTTCATTAAAAAGAAATATGTTAAAAATTATGAATTGATAGAAAGGTCTGGTTATTATGATATTCGCAGAAATTAATAATTTGAAATTAATTATTTTAAGCACAATCAGAGCAAATTACTATTAATGAAATGATAAAAAAAAAATTTTATTGTTAGTGATGTCAATACTATATTGTCTAATATTGTTTTAGGACATGATGTACTTAAATCATTTAATTTAATCTTAACTGAGAAAAAGAAAAAAGAATATGATACCATTAGTGATATTATAAATATTGATATTTGTTTACAGAAATATCAAGGATATAGAAATTAGAGTCAAATTCGAATATAGATATGTGTAATAAACGTTTAAAGTTTTAACATTCTGATAAATTGATATAAAATATAAATTTAATTTAAAAACTTAACGTTATATTGTATTACATGATATGTTTCGACATTATAATTGTGCCATCATCAGATGTTGTAAATTCGCAGAGCAAAAACGCAGTGAAAAAGTCAGGTGTATTTTGAATAGTCACTAAGTTAAACGGTATGAAAGATGGAATGAAATATTCTTATAAATATATATAATTCGTCGTATCTTACGTGAATCCAATGTAACACATTCATAAATCGAGGGTGAAAACGAAATTGCTCGCAATCGGTTGAACGATCGGTTAATAGAGAAATTTATTACGATTATCTATAAGTTATAATCTTTTAGCTACAGATCTACAAGCAATTTCATTATTAAAGACTATATTAACGATCTCATCGTTATGGTCTTATATTCTTCCAACGTATGATGTAGATACGATGCGTGTCAAATTACTTGCATCAGTCACTATGATTATGAGATTAATAAATATATGTGAAATTATTAAAACTATTAGTCACCAAGTTAAAGATTAAAATTGTATAAATATATAAAATTACTAATCAAAAAGTTAAAGATTAAAGATGTATAAATATATAAAATTACTAGTCAAAAAGTTAAAAATTAAAATGTATAAATTTATATAATGTGACTGCTGTAACAGTCTAATATTGACTAATATGTTATAACGTATAAAACGTATAATCTTAGCAAAAGTCATTTGTTTATTATCGATACATACGTTTTGTAAAATCCCTCCATATTTGTCTGTAAATTGAGGCAGTTTTTTAATATTTAACATTTTCGAGATTAGGCGTTTGTTATGACACGGTATTTACAGAAACAAAACATTACAGAAACTTTATAAATTAATGATGAGATTTTAAATTACGACAAGATAAAATTGAATCATATGTTTTATGAAAATTATTGCCTGAACGACAGAATTTTCAGAGGTTAAGACCGAATTACAATTAATAGTTAAAGATTCACTTTTTATTTTTAACTCAGAAGACTCTTATTTTGAAAAAGAGAAATTATAGATTATTTTGAATAATTGAGAACAGAAAAAAATTATAAGGATTAGTAATTTGGAATATGCGTTCCTAATAATTTTATAAAATAAAAATAAAAATAATCAATTACGATTGTGCGCGATTATCGTATTTTAAATAAGAAGTTAGCACGGGATAGTTATCCGAATTGAATATCAATTAACACTTTTAAATAATAAGAAATTATTTACATTTAGATTTATGTAATGTTTTTTTTCATATACACATGTCTCTAGATAAAATACACAGTTTTTGTAATGCTATTCGAATATGAATTTCTTAGAATATCTTTTGGTCTAAAAGTAGATTCTGTTAGTTTTCAACAATTATGAAGTGTTCAAGGAATTAATTAATGAGAATATTTCGATATTCAGATGATATATTTATGATATCAAAGACGTTAGAATATCGTTTTGAGTTATTAAAGTGTTTCGATTATTAATACAAAATAACATAGGATTAAGATTGAAAAATATAAATTTTTATGTGCTAAGATAGAATATCTTATGATATAATTATAAAGATGGTAGACCTACAGTGGAAGGAATATCCACAATAGAAAATTTTCCAATTCCTAAAAATGTGCGCGATATAAAGTTTTATTGAATTAAGTTTTTGTTTTAGAAAATTTATTGAAAACTTTGCAATAGCTAAAAGTCCTAAGAATAAAACTGAATTACATTGCAATGCGAATGTTTGAGATATGGTGCTATATTAATGTAGAAAAAAAAAGATTGTTCATTTTTCAAATTTCACTCTATTTCTTATTTTTCTAAACGGACCACTGAAAATAAAACTTATTATCATAATTTTGAACTAGAAACTCTGGCAATAATTTATTCGTTATATCATTTTCGTATTTTTTTTGCAAGGAATACAGCAAAATTATAACTGATTATGAAGTATGAAAGAAACATTTAATAAAAAAGATGTGAAAAGATGTGAACGTATAACTCGGCAATGCAAAATTTTGATTACATCATAGAACATATATCAGGGCTCTAATATTCTTGAAAAATATCGCATACTAATATTTCTCTAGTTTTTCGTATGCGGTATTTTTCGAGAATAGAGGCCCAGATTCTCGTATCCATCATGTGCGCTTAATCAGATAAGCAATATTTTAATAAGAGAATAATTTATTGGAATATACTAACTAACTTAGTTATAGTCCAAAGTAAAGAAAATTACAGAATTAAGAGGAAATTGAGAAAAATTGAGACGATTCTAAATTTGAAACGAGAAATTTATCGTAAAAAATAAATTTTATTTTACATATTTTCATCTATGGAACACAATGTTTTATTTAAATATCATAATGAATTTTGCTATTTAAGTGTAGATAAGACTGTGAGTATTATCATAAAAGTATTATCACTGATTTCTTAAATTAAGAGAAAATATAGAAAATTATATCAGGAATTATTTTTAATGTATTGTTTTTATGCTTGTTTGTGAAAGAAGAGTTTTTATAGCATTCCTAAAGGGAAATTTCCATTTAATAAATATAGATTATTATGGTCGATAAAAAACATACTATTAAACGATATATATTCTTGATTGTTGATTCTATAAATATGTAAAATTATATACTACTAAAACTATTGTACTTCAACTGCTAAAATTATATGTTGTTTAGAGAATTATTTTGATAACTACAGTTATCCAAAAATAATAATTTCTGACAGAGGTACTGTTTTTATATCCCAAGAATTTCGTTGTGTAAAATGATATAAAACATACATCTATTAATAATAACCGGTTCCCCTCAAACTAACGGATAGATTGAAAGAATTAATCAAATACTTACGCCAAAATATTAGTTAAATTAATTGATAATAGACAAATATTGGTATAAAGTATTAAGAGAAATTGAATATGCATTTAATAATACAATAAAGGTACTGGAGAAATTCCTAGCAAAATTTTATTCGGTTAAATAACGAGATAAAATTAAAGATGAAATAACAACATATTTGCGTGAAAATATAAATAACGATAGCAATAAAAAAAACATTGAAAAATGTAATTTAGAATTAATTTATATTTCGAGTTTGAAGTTGCTGATAAGGTAATTTAATCACAAAGACATAATGAGAACTATTTAATCAAAAAAGAAAATATTCATTAAGTATAAAGAAAGTGATTTAGTTATGCTTAAAAATTTTGACACGCTAAGAGTTTCTAAAAAATTAATTCCGCAATTTAAAGGATCTTATTCAATTATTAAGTATTTAAGAAATGATAGATATATCGTATTGGATGAAGAACGAGACTTTAATATACATAAAGTTATCAAGATATTTAATGATAAAATGAGTCTATGGCAAGGAGAATAACTGTAACTGTAATGAATTTAAAGATTAAATCGAGATAAGCATTATTAAATTATTTAAAATTTTACAGTTTAAACGCGATTGTCTGTGCGTTTTTAACTTTCTCTTTTTAAATTATTATTTTATTCCTTTGATGTTTTATATTTGTTATGAATTAAATATTATCAAATATTGTGTTTCAATATTTTAATATGTCCGAGGACGGACATTAGTCAGGCTAGGCAAATTGTAGAAATTGTAAGTATATTGCAAGCGTAATGAGTGATGTGAGTAAAGTGTGTGTGTAATTTATGAGAGACAAAAGAAAAGGAGGACAATTGAGTAATAATTAATCAATAAGATTTAAATTATGGCAATACGTTCTTGTAATAAAAGAGTTCTTGTAAAGTTCTTGTAAATTCAGATAGCCAAGTTTATAGAAGCAGATTTTTTTTTAATGTGCTACACATTTGGCTATGCCAACAAAATGATAGAATTAGATGTACATAATACTGTTGACAGACTGCTAGAAAAAATGTAACAGAATTTGCAAACGTCAGATAATGTCGGCAGGGTCTGCTCAGTTTCTGCCAACAATTTGCCTTCACATTATATCGACAGGAGATGTTAACAGAATACAAGCCTAATACGGAGTTGATGACTGCCGTCATTTTCTGCTCGGACCTGCTGACAGTCTGCTAGAAGACTGCAGACATTTGACTATCTGGGAATATTTAAGAAATATACTTTTCCTGACTACAATATTATTAAATTAATATTATTGTCAATTTAATATATGATATTATTTCTCTAATTCTGTTCATGATTGTGAACAAGATTTCGACGCGCGATTTGCTGAATTGGATATGTATGTAAATTGGATATGTATGTAAATTTATACCGAATATTTAAGCACAAAGTCTGCTTTGATCAAAAATGGGAAATTAATCTTGATTCACAATCTTGCTTTAAGAGGCCTTAAGTCATAAGTCATAAGTCGAAAGAAATTAAGTGACAATAATTTCTGTTCTTTAAACTGTGTCTTTAGGTTTTAACCGTTAAACTTAAGCGAATTAAGCTAGATCCAATTCTTTGCCTAAAAGTTGCATAAGTTCTGTGGCCGATACATCGTCATTAACTTACAACCTCTTAAGCAAAGTTGTGGACTTAGCCTGATTGGTCATTTATTGTTTAAGTTTTACTGCTTACGTTTTTTTGTGGCTCTAAGAGAATAAAAGAATGACAGGTGAAGTTTACCGAAAGATGGAACAAAGCAATCTGAATTTGATTTATTCTCATTGATGTTTAATTTCGATTTATATTTTTTATATATTTATATATATATA